GAGAATAAAAACCTGGAACTGATTATAATGATTTACTATGATCAGTTACAGGTTTTCATTCTCACGCACTCATATGTTAATGGAAAGAACTATTTATTAGTCATAATATGAATAACAAAAACCTTGCAAGAAAATGAATAAGAATAAGAAGTCACAAAATAAAGATACAATAATAGATAATATATAGATAATATACTGTATAATAATAAAAATAATAGCCAAGATAAAAGGGTGAATGATAAAAATCATATTAGCATTTAACTAGTACGAGTACAAGTGTTGCATAAGGGTGGAGAACCAGAACATCCAGTACATGCAAAATTACAATTACCAAAAGTGTAATCGATCTTATTGCATAAAGATATGTACATCAGTACAATTCGAACTAACAAACGCGCAGGTATCACAATGACCAACACAGATAGCATTACATAGAGAGGCCCTTTTAACCAATGGCGAGGCTAAAGCCATAGAATAGGTCAAGATTTCTGAGCAGGCAATTAAGAAGATTCCTAAGAGTGAAGATTTAGATTCCATTTTTAACCTATACAAGAAAAAATATTAGAAGATAACAAAAATTGATTTTAAAAAATGCATGTAACAATTATAGTAATAAAACAAACCAAAAAATAAAGATTAAATAATCGTCTGGAAATTTAAATAATTGTTAGGGTTTGAAGAGAGGCTGAACGAGATGCAGTGACATATATAACAAAATTTTAAACCTTTGTTATTCATGATGTTGTAATCGTGAAACCTTGAATTTTGCAAACTTAATGACTTCATCTACTGTATAAAATTCATCTATAAAATTTCGAAATTTGATTAATAATTTATTTGTGGCTATAGTCATTAGGCTAGACCATTTGCGTTAATAATAAAAGACAAAACCTAAGTACAAAAAAAAAAGCGAAAGGCGAATCATTATAGCAAAACAGTAAAACTCTGGGGAATGTCAAAATGAAAAAACTTTGATGATATAGAAAAATGGCAAAACGTGAATACCAAAATAGAACAACACACTGGTGGAAGATAAAACTCTAATAAAGAGCAAAATTTCTAAAAAGATGAAGCAAATAAATGGGTAGAGCCAAATGAAACCAGGAAGCTAAAATATAGAATAATTTAAAAAAACATTACTCTAAATTTAGATTTTTCGATTTTCACTTGACAATACTCAAATGATACAATAAGAAATTTTAATGTTATTATATTTACGCGTAATAATGCACGTTGTGTTATTTCGAAAATTCTATTTTTTCGAAATTGTATATTTAACTCAAAATAATACTCATGAACATCTCAAAATAACACATCTAAACCTAATTAGATTTACATATATATTCAATACTATATATTTGTAATATTGAATGTATTATATTCGGTATAAGAATGATTCGAAATATCGCACATATGCGCCCCGAATAATGAACAGGTACTCAAAATGATGCACATATACCAGTTATTACACGTAAACATTGTAGTGATAAATGAAATCATTTTTCAATTTGTAATATGCTATTGAATTAGTATTGCACACTTATGACTCAGTACTACTTTTGCATGTATGTATGTATTTGGTCATAGGCAGAAGTTTGTCTGATTGGCTAATAAATTCAATTTAATT